ATCTGTGCCTATCAGATGCTCTTTGCTGAAGCTTTTCAGGACATCCTCTCACGAGGACTGCCACATTGTGTTGCCCGTCCATCTATTCTTTGGTGCTGACTGGTTTATTTTCTATTTTTCTTTTATTTGATTCCTCTATTATATTTCCTCTATTATAGTTATCTTACATTACTGCTTTGCACTAATCGGCAGTATAAAAAAGCAAAAACTGCCTATATACCACCCCACAGCACTCAAAGCACTCTCTGGGCCATTTGCAATTTAATTCGGCAAACTACTGACCTCGGAAGGATAGAAGACTGAGTGAACCTTGAGCTGGATACATGGGATTGAACCTGGGTTGTGAGCAGAACTTCAGCTACAGTACCGCAATTTAACCACTGCACCACTAAACTGCACCATGAGGCTCCTAAAAAGTTCATTCGAGTTATCGTCCGTCCATCCGTCTGTCCATCCATCCGAAGCAGGGTTTGCTTGTCTTCCCGTCATAGTATACCGAGGAAGGACTTGCAACCCAACCCCTTCCATTGTGTCGCAATGGGAAAGGATTGTGGTGATGTTCCTTCTCTTCGGTCGACTCTAACCATTCAGCTGAGGAGTGTAGTAGCCCCATTTCCTACCCCGGAGGGGCAGAAGACGGAGAGGGGAGAGGACTAACCATCTTCCAGTATTTGAAGGGCTGCTGTGTGGAAGATGTGGCGAGATTCTTTTCTGGAGCTCGAACGGGCAGGACCCAAAGAAACGGATCCAGACCAGAAGAAAGACGATAGTCGAAAGGGAGGAAGAACGTGGTGGTGGTGGTGGTAGCAGCAGCGGCAAGAGCGATTTCACAGTGGACACGAAGGTCTCAGAGGCTGGAGGACTCTCCTTCGTTGGAGGTTTTTGAACAGAGGTTGGAGGGCTGTTGGAGTTGTGGGTTTGGAGTGGCCTTACAGCTTTCTGGCTCCGTTATTTCTACGATCCGGATGCTTTTAGAATGTTCTTTATCTTCCATGACCAAAAGCTGCCCCACGTCCATAGAAGTTGCCAAATTCTTCCTTATAAACGCTGCCGTTGCAGTCTGGACTCGTTGGGACTCTTTTGCGTGTGTGGTAGAAAGGAAAGGAGAAGGCCAGATGTGCTGGAAACTCA